CTTGTGAAATCCTAGCCTTTCTAGTTTCACTCAAAGTAACCTTAGGATATGTTATTTTAAATAGTTCTGCATTTACTATGCTTTTGGATGCAGGATCTACGAAGCATTTATTCATAAAAAATTGTGCAAAGAAATTTGAAATTCAAATTCAGCTCTATGATGTTACATCTGTATCGGTTTTATATTATTTGTATTCATTTAAGAGCTGTATACACAAATGCAACTACAGTTATGCATAGCTGAGAGTAAAATTTCAATTATACTTTGAGATTTCAAGCAGTTAGCTCTAGCCACATTAACAATCTGAGTAAAACAAAAGTGGAGAGGAATAAAGCAGGTTATATAAAGCTCAAGAGCATAACACTTAATTATTCTCAATATCCTCTCCCTGAACATAATTTCATAAAGAGTATCACACTAATATTAATACCAAAACAATTTTTTAAATTATCCAGTTTTATCTTACGTTATCCAGGTAAAACATTTAACAAAACAACAAAATTATACAAGGCACCATTAATCAATTATTGTACAGTACAGACTTGTAGAATGTTCTTGTACATACTGGTCTATGAACCAGCGTGCTGGTCATTGCCCTTTTCCTCCCCACACCTGGTCGTTTAACAAGCAGCGTGAGAAGTTATATGTTACTGCTGGTGTGGCTTTTCCCTGTATCTCTATATCTATGGTAGAAGATATTTTCCTGAGGGTGGCATATTACCACAGTGGTTAGCACTGGGATTCAATTCCAGACCTGGGATATTTTCTGCATAGAGTTTGTACTGAATGTTCCCCCTGTGTTCACATGGCTTTCCTCCCACAGTCCAAAGACATACTGGTAGTGACTTCTGGAAAAACTGGCCTTGGTATATGTTTGTGTCTGTGAGTGCCCTGTGACGGACTGGTGGCCCATAACAAACACTAGCGAGAAAGCTTCAATCCCACCATTCACCCACGAATAAGGCAGTGGTCTTCAGTCAGTTTAAACTGGAGATCACTTTTGGGCTCTAAAAAGACTTAAATATCTACATTCTCACAATCCCAAAACTAATTGCTATGTTTAACACTCACCTAATAGAGTGACCCCAGCATGTCTGAGGTGGCTCTGAAGTCTGTGTCAGAAGAGCAGTGTGACAAGTGGTAACACAGAGGTATGTGGACCCATAACAGGCCTTCATCTTCAGTGCACAGAATCACAGAAGAGGGTACTTCTCTCTGATTACCAATAGTGATAACAAAAGTCCCAACGGTTTTTGTCCCTTGACCTACAGTAGCTTTCAGTTCTAAGTCATTTTGCGTGGAGATGATCTCCATGTCAGCTCCACTGTTTCATGCAGTCACCTGCTGTCAGTTTTCCGATTCCCACCTGACAAAAAGTGTTGATGACAACTGTGACAGTTTTTTCCATCTTGTCTACCTAACTGAATTGTCTGTTGAATTCCTTCTTCAATTTATTCGGGTCACAGAATATGTTAGGAAGGAATCTTTCCCCTTTGATATTTTGTAGGATTTTCTGCACATTTGAGAAACACTTGAACGCATTCACTGTACTCTTAATACTATGACAGCTCTCTGTTCCTAACCTGCAGTTTCCAATTTAATTCTCATTAATTAAATTAATGGCTCATTAATTTCTGCCATTATGTCCATATTAAACCCCAGTCTTATAACCACACATCATCTAACAACTTGCTGCAAAACTAATTTTTAATATCAAAAAGCTGAAAATTCAGATCGAAAAATCTCATAAGCACTTTTCTTTGATTTATCCTCATATCTGCATGAATGGTTTCTTCGCATTAGGTAGCATCAAGCTCATCGAGTAAAGTGAAAAACAGGAGCAATATTCCAGAGCTCTTGCACAAATTGAGTTGAAGATGCTGACAACAACTGTCATCAAAAAGAAAAATCAATATCCTTTCTTTCAAGGGCTTATTGGTAAATAACACAGTGGTAACTGACAACTCAGGATTATTTTGGCAAAATGCAATAAAGTATACATTGACAACTACTTTTGCTGGTGTTCTATTAGCAGTGAGATTCTCAATCTGAAAGATTTTATCAGTTAGATACCTTAAACTTCATTGTAGATATCGTTGATAATAATTGCTTACACTTATATAGCGCTTTTCTGGACACTCCACACAAAGCGCTTTACAGGTAATGGGGATCCCCTCCACCACCACCAGCGTGCAGCCCCACCTGGATGATGCGACAGCAGCCAGAGTACACCAGTACTCTCCCCACACACCAGCTCTCAGTGGGGAGGAGACCTGAGTGATGAAACAAGTTCATAGGTGGGGATTATTAGGAGGCCATGATTGGTAAGGGCTGATGGGACATTTTGGCCAGGACACTGGGGAAACACCCCTACTCTTTTCGAGAAACACCCTGGGAGTTTAAATGACCACATAGAGTCAGGACCTCGGTTTTACATCTCATCCAAAAGATGGCGCCCCCCCCGTCACTATACACTTGCCTTAGGACCCACATAGACCGCAGGGTGAGCGCCCCTTCTGGCTCCACTCACACCTCTTGTGTTATTATATACAGTATCCTGGTGTGTTGTTCTAAGACACAAAATAATTTCCCGCTTTGTTTGAAGGTCATTCATGAGAAAACAATCTGCTGGTCCTATCACTCATCCACTGATTCAATTAAACAACAGTGATAAAGATTCACAGTTGTATTTGCTGAGACATGTCCTCAGACAACTTTTCCACCCTCCTGGGTTCTGTTGAAGTGATACATCTTGTCATCCACATGAGGCTGTCACACTTTTGTCTTTTCAAAAGATACTTTTTTATCTTTTATATTTTCAGAACTTTTAAACAAATTGTCAGCAGCAACTGTCACTGACACCCTAATATCTTCTCCATCAGTAAATAATCTCTCCTGGTCGACCTGTTTTACCAGCAGAAGGATAAAAGTTCTAAAATGTGAAATGTGAAGGCTGAATTTATCTTTGGTCAAAGGTTTAGAACAGAGTGACCGTTGAGCTGTCAAATTGTCTTTTAATTTTATCCATCCCAATCACATTGTTTTAAAGGATTTCTTTTTAATTTTGCACCCCTTTATCTGTGATGCTGTTCAAAATACCCTCTTTTACTTAGATGTGCACACTCTTGGCGAATTAGTCAAGTGCTCTTGTCTTTCAAACTGGTGAAAAGAAATTTCCCATTCCATGAAATGCTTTCGCCCTCTGTTGGTCCTGGCTCCTCATTTCTGCTTAAAAAAAATAATGTTTGAAAAATGAAAAAAAAATCTGAACTGGACTATATTTATGGAACTTCAGACTTCCCTCCTCCACCACATGTACTTTTACCAACTATTAAAGACTGAACTTTCTTCCCTGCAGTCAAGTGCATTAAACCCAAAATGAAATAGTAAATACATACCAGGTCATAAATTACTTCAGGGTCATTCAGTATTGACTATGATTATAGTCATAAACTTGACCACTTGCTGTGACAGTAAGTGCTCCACATGGTGAATATCCCATAACAAATGGAAATAATGCATATTAGCTTCTCTTAACAAATATTTATATAATTAACATGATTCTGAAACTACCAAGATTATCCAGTGAGCAAGAATGAAAAGTGTAAAGAAGTGTAAAGATAATATTTAGTTCAGGTGGGGAGCTGTATCAGCACGCGTAGGCTTCAAAGGAGCAAGTAAAGGTTTATTCCATGCTGAAAAGAGAAGAAAAGAAACACAATGTTCTTTGGGTGTGTCCAAAGCTGAAAGGATGATATTTACTCATGTTGAAAGTTGCAGGGTTTCTGTAAAAATAAGTCTAGGATGAAGACAATTCGTTCATTAAACATAAAAGCCCCCCTGCATCTTTACTTGTTAAACTTACTACAATCCATCTGTTTTAGAATTGCCCTCTAAATGAGCACGTTTTCAACCTTAAGTTCTGCTGTGCTTGTGTGTTTTCTGTTGGTTTCATGCACTTAATGATCTGTCATCATGGCATTGCTAATGCAGACAACAATAATGAAGATCAAACAATGGAATTGTTAAGCCTTTTATTTTACCAAGAATATTTTTATTTGAATATCTGCCTCCAAAAGGTTTAAATTTCTAAACCAAATAATTAACTATAAAACTATTAACCAATAACTAGTGTTAGAGCTGAAAATGCATTTGTCAATGGCTCTGATTTCTGCAGTTTGTATGTCCTAGATTTACCTATGCAATTTCATTGCAGGAAATGTAAAAAACATGATGTGTTTTAAAATAGATAGTGACATATACAGTGAGAGGCTCATCTACATACTTTATGTGGTATGCTGATGAACTTGGCAAGAATCTCAACTATTATACAGAAACAATAGATCTGATTTAGTGTGTTCATTTTTAATGTTTCTTAGACCAAGGCTACTTAAAACCTGTGTGTTGCTTCCTAACAAAATTAAATGTAAAATTTGATAAATTTTCCTGAAGGTCATCATCAGAAGTTGATACATCTACAACTCTTAAATGTAGAATATACTCAAATGTTAACACAGAACTTCAATAAAATAAATCTGCAACAAACTATCAATCAAATAACATATGAATAGGCTCACATGACTAAACCAATTATTAATTTTCTGAAAGAGCCTTTGCTTTATAGATGAATACTGATGTATTGATTATGATGAATATTGAAGGAGTGCTAATTAGGATCAAATAACAAAAACAAACAGGCTACTACTTCAGGACCTTTTCCTCTTTTAAGTTTGCCAATATGTGGGATCAATAGTGCCAGAGGTTACCTTCCTCTCACTCTCTGAATAATGATGAAAAAAGAGGTTTCTGGCATGTACTGCACATTCTACAGGCTTCTCTGCATCTTTAGTGGGATATATAATCTTTGTCTGCAGTGGGCAATGAAAATTAAACCGCTAAAAGTGGAGGTGGAGCTTTTGCACATGAGAAACAGAGAGGAAGAGAGGAGAGAGAGTGAGAAAAGCAAAAAGAGGAGAGAGGGAGGGAGAGAAAGACTGAGAATGCTTAAGAGGAGGAGAAGGATTATATACCAGCTGTTTTCGTGAGAAGTGTCAAAGAACACAAGAAGGCAGTGCTGAGCTCGAGAGGATTATCAATCTGTCAGATCAGTTACATTGGTGAGTACCCCAGCCTGCTGCTAGATACAGATCACAGAAAACGGTTCTGTTAGAAATGCTTAAGTTGATGTTTCCATAGTTTTATGAAAATTAATACTGCTCCATGCCCTTTTCTACCTTTGAAGTTATCAGGATCTGTATTCCTTTAGCCTGTGTGTGAGTGATGATGAAGGTGATGATGATGATAATAATAATAATGACTGCTATTATCTGCAAAGGTGTAGTTACTGTATCTGCAATTTACCATCTTCCAGACACATTATTGGAAATGTGAGATTTTAGGATAGCCTTGCTAAATGACATTAGTTTACTAAAGCACTATCAAGCTGTAATAGTAATAACACAGAGATAATAGATTTTAATAGTTATTCAGTGCAGGATTTCATGATCATTGTCAGCATTCAGTTTTCATTTATCACTACTAAAGCTGATAAGGAAACATAATATTTGACTTCAGATTACTGGCATTCTAGAAGAATATGAAAAGTGTTTTCAGAGGTTTATGAGTTTTCTCTATTGGATTACACAGATATTGTCGTCATATGAATGTTTTGCGCTTGGCAAGTCGTACCTTAAATATATATATCACTTGCAAGGTGGCTCTTAATTCAATAGCTATTTTGAAAGGAACACAATACAGATTTTTTTAAGCAGCACAATTACCTGTACAAATGGTATTTATTCAGCTAGAACTGTTTATGCCTTAGTTCATTAACACCTTTGTATATCTTGACTGTTGTAATAATCTACTTACATCAGATTTTATTTCTCAAGTTTGTACGTTGTTGTATGATAATACTGAGGAAGTATTTCATTCTGAAAAGTACATTTGTATTTTCCCTTAAACATACAACAAAACATTTGACATTGGCAACAATTAATCTAAAATCAGAAAACGGCTTTGTTTTCAATTAATATGGTTGCCTTCCATGGATCCAGGAACAATTAAAAACCTAGATGAAAGTATCAATGCAATGAAGACATTTATTGTTAAAAAATCACCTTTCTATCCATCTCCCTTTCAACCTCTGGTGTGATCTGTGATAAGAAGATATAGATATGAAAACAGGACACACTCAAAAGAGATACCACACAAAATACACATTTATAATACACAGCCTTTAACCTGATGTGGGATTACAGTCTGTGACTCTCTCGTAGTAATATGTTTGATCTCACACAGACGACTTTGTGACTCATGTTTTTGTTTTGTTTTGGGCTGATAATAGATATTCTCCTCTAATTGGAGTTTTGAATGTGATATAGTGCTGAGGTGTGTCTTATACTGCACCAGGTGAGGAATGAGGGTAGATTAAGACATTCTACTGGGAGTGCATTCCCGGTATACTTACAGAATTTCCCCTGCATGTAATGTATTCTCGTTAGAATGGCCCTTAGCTATTGACAAAATTCAAATGTAAAATGTTTTTTTTTAATAAATATTAATTCACTTACAGATAGAGTATGGTTTTGTCAAATGCCATTAAAATGAGCTTTTCCATATATACCTACTCATAAATAAAATGCAATATACTGTGCAAGAATTATCATTATGACAGATATGCACTGTACGTCAGTCCTATGTCTCATCACATTTGATTTCATGTGAGGAGCAACTGCAGGTGAGTAACCTGAACAGAACAGGACATTTATTATTCCACTGCAGGATAATGATCTGTTTTCTAGGCATGTAGACTGAATCCAACATATTTGCAGTCTTTCCTGTTTTTTCTTTCTTTCCAGCATCTTAACAGTTAAAGAATATATCTTGTTCCTTGCTCTAAAGTGGACATGGCATTCAAAATTCACTCACACTTATACTTGCACTGTAATACTGTAGCTTAGGTTACTCAATGTATCCTTTAACAACAGGACTGTAAAAGCAGTCCTAGAGTATTCCATAATAATAGTGTGAGATTTCAGTTCATCTCTGAAGTTCATTTTCACATCCTGCTATGCTTAGTAGAAACTCACACTTCAGGTTCTTACAGAAGGTTAGAATACAGACTGCCAGCATTTTCCCATTTCACCTTTATGTAATGTGAGTCATTGCTAAATCATTTTTATACCAAAGGTACTGCTTACTGAACACAACATCAGAGCCATGAAACACCTTGTCCTGTACATATGAGTCTCAAATATGACATTACTAAAAGTAATGCATCTTACAGTTACTTGAGAGTTCAGCACATTGAGCTGTGGAGAAATAAGAACTCTCACCACAAAATTGCTTTCCATTTTATGTTCTGTTTGCCTTTGCTTTTTCCTGGTTCTCTTCTGCAGTTCCCATGAACTGTGGGCTGTATGCTCATTTCCATTTTCAGATGAGTTATTGGTTAGATTTGTGTCATTCTTCTCCGTGTTTTCTTGATTGAAATAATGGAGGACTATTTGGTGTCAAGATAGATTATGGTTCAGGCTCACTGTGCTTTTAATGCACCACATCTAAATAACCCATCAGCTGGCAAGTCATAATGCTAACAGAGTGTGTACTACATGCATAGTTTCTGACTCCTACTCAGACTGAAGCTAGATTAGATTGTCTGATGTCTAATGGACATAATGGAATTATCACATTATGCATCAATGCATTATTATATCTATAACACTTTATATAACATTTTTTTTCAAATCCTCTGATTTATCAATCTGCATTTTTGCACCCTTTGTACACATACTACATGTGTATGTTTTTGTACACTTTTCTCCCTGTTAGCTGCATGATATTTGACTCTGTGTGCATGCTTGAGTGAAATTACAGATAAATACATATTTCATACATAATACATAAATTACAGATAAATACATAATGCTTTGTTATTTCCCGTGCTTGCTGTACAGTGTCATCTGATGAGTATGAGAATATCACCTCATGAATGAATTCAACTGGTTATTGTACTGCATGTATTGGGTCTGTGTACATCTGACGAGATGAGGTAAATATGAAATAGACAAATACATTTCCAACACCATCCATTCTGTATTTGAAAACAAGATTTCATTAAGAATGTCTTGTAACGGCCAATTATTACATTAATTTGAACTCCTTGAATACCAAAGTAAAATCAATCATTTATTTTTTCAGCACAGCAAAATACAAAGGCTTTGTTACTCATTATGTGAAATGATGCTCCTATAAATTTGACTTGAAATATTCACCAAAAAATATTCTTAATAAACATCTTTGGACTGTTATGTACTAAACACACATTATTGATAAACAGATATTTATGACCACCTTGTACAAGGTACTGGTAATGATCACTGTTAGTCTAGCATTAAAAAAAGAGAGAAATAGAGATAGAGAGAGAAACAATGAGCAAGAAAAACCAAAATTGTTTCAGTTACATTTCTGAAAACAACTTTTGAGAAAATCATACACTAAAAGTTATCATTCTCTCCAGACTGACTGAGTGTCGTGTTGAGCATACAGAGGGATACTTCAATGAAAGCCCATTAATGTTACAAGCTGTTACTTTTCAAGTACATCATTGGGTGACACATACACGATTTTTGAGGTTCTTTTTAAGAGGCCAAAACAACCAGATCTTGGCTAGAATCAAGTACAGTAGGTTACTCGCATGATAACAAAAAGATGTTAAATACTTTGGCAGTTTCATATTTACCTGTCTATTTCAGTCTATTAAATATTACATATATACAATTAAATATTTCACTAGTAAATCAAACATTCCTTTGACTTAATTTTCTTTTAATTACAAACAGCTTCTACTTGGTGTGGATTTTGAGCTTCACTAGTAACAAACAGTCTAGAAATGCTATACAGTATATATGCCTAAAAATAGTCACACTTCATGAAATCCAGTTATTTACTCAACGTCGACAGTCATTTTTTCACAACAACAGAGAGACAGCGTGCCCTTTGACACTAAAAAGACAGCTTTGTCTCAGCTGCGTGGGTTTTCATCTTTTCATTTTGCCTTTTGGATTCACTTGTCAGCAGAACTGACAAAGGTCTGGGAAAAACACAGGTATTTCTGAAAGGTTTTAATTAGGTTGCACTAGAAAAACAAACAGCTTTCAGTTTGACACGTAAACATCTACAGAACCCTGAAATTCATTTTACATGTTCCTTCAGGAATTATCCAGGCAACATTACCGGTGTGAACACAAATTATCCTGACATACTTTAAGGTGTAGTACAATTAAGATTATAATTCATGGATTTATCTTCCTGTTTAAAAATACTGTGCTATATTGTGCTTTAAGTGTAGGCCTGGGTGTGGTGGAAATACTAGAAAAATGGGAAAAAAACAAGAAGAACTGTGGTATCCAGATGATTTGCGTATCAGGGAACCAGGAGTTTCATATTAGAAATGGTCATATTTGGAGCTGCCACCTCAGAACCCTTCCATGTGTTTAAAGAACAACCCTGATGTACTGATATACAGTATTTGTGTAGTTCTGTGGAACCAGCTCAGAGTGCACATTATTACCCATATAGATACCAGAGTCCACTTTAACAGAGTCCACTTAACTTCATCCCTCCTGCTGTATCTCCCTTTCTTCTCTTCCTTAAATTCATGTGACACACCCTTACACTGCAGAGAGCTCTGCTCACGTCCCAGACTGTGATGTTTTCAGGGCTTGCTGGGTCACAGCTGACTGGGATCTCAAAGCTGTACTACCAGAGAAAAGCCAATAAAGTACTGAGACTTCAAGTCTTTTACAAAAACAGTATCCAAAGCACGACCAAACTCCCTCCTTTTAGGAGGAATAATATAAGCAAAAAGAATCCTTAAGAGAACTACTGAACTGCAGTATTACTTACTTTATCCTTTCTAGAGTCCAAAATAAGCCATCACCAAAACCCAGTCTGACTCTCGGGTCCTCTTCAAACAAAACACCCTACATTAGGCTGCAGTTTAATTCGGTTTACATGTTATGCTAGTTTACTCATGTTTCTACCAAAAACACAGCACTGTTTATTTCCCTCACTTGGTGAAGACCAGTAAACCAAACACAGGGCAAACAGAGTCAACACTCTTCTCAAAGCTATAGGATGTGTCTGTCGATATCCCAGGGGGCACTTATCACACACAAAAGAGCAGGCATGCACGTATCTCTAATGCTACGCTTTGTTTTGTGTAGGAAATCTTCACACAACAATGGCAGATCACGAAGACCTTGGCAAAATGGCCGGACACTGGAACGCCTCAGAAAACTACCAGTTCAACCCTGCCAGCGTCATCGTTTCAGTGGTCTTCTCTCTCATCTTCCTGCTGGGGACCATTGGGAACAGCCTGGTCCTGGCTGTGCTCCTCCGCAATGGCCAGATGGGACACAACACCACCAACCTGTTCATCCTGAACCTCAGTGTCGCCGATTTCTTCTTCATCATCTTTTGTGTGCCGTTCCAAGCTACCATCTACTCCCTGGAGGGGTGGGTGTTTGGGTCCTTCATGTGCAAGGCTGTCCACTTCTTCATTAATCTCACTATGTATGCCAGCAGCTTCACACTAGCTGCTGTATCAGTTGACAGGTGGGCAACTTTGTGTATATTTGCATGTGTTTCACTTGTCTTGTCCATAATAGACTACTGTGGTTATCAAAGTACACAGTGCCTTGCAAAAGTATTAATGGTACATTGACTATAGTATTTTATGATATTATGAAATTATGAAATTTCAACATGATGCACTTTTTAATCCTCTTATTAAAAAAACAGGAATGCTTGATCTGAAGACTCATAATGGTAAGTTACAGTAAATGTCAGAGAACACTGAAGAGAAAAAAAAATGAAATACGTTGCGTGCATAATAATTCAGGCCTGTGAGCTCAATATTTGACAGAAGCACCTTTGGCTGCAACAGCAGTTGCAATTAATTTTGATTAAGTCTCCATCAGCTTTGTACAGCGGCCTGGTGGCATGTTTGCCCATTGGTCTTTGCAGGTTTTCTCAAGCCTTGCTCTGGCATCCCTTATGGATAACAGTTTTCAAGTCTTTCCAAAGACACTTAATAGGACTCAAGTCAGGACAAAGTTGGTCACTTTCTTAAGCCACTGCAGTGTAGTTTCCGCCTTCTGTTTTCGGTCATGGTGCTACTGAAAGGTAAATTTTCACTCAAATTTTAATTCTGTCCAGTCTCTGCTGGAAACACTTTGCAGGATCCTACGATCACCATAATGAACTTTAAGGATGGCGTTGATGGATTGATGAACTGTGCTGGTTTTGCCCAAATGTACTGCTTTGCAATTACACTACAAATTTGTCTCATCCGACCACAAAACCTTTTCACATATGTTTGCGAAATCACATAGAACACTTTCTAGCAAACAGCATGTGAGATGTTTTTGCCAATCTCCTGGAGGCATTTTCTCATGATTAAGCTCTGTGTCGCCGTTAAAGCTGTCATGAACCCCACAGTGGCAGCCCGCGCCAGTTTCCTCCCAGCCCGGACCCTCAGTTTGAAGAGACAGCCTGATATCGGCTAGACAGCATGATAAGCTTTCACTTCTTGATGATGGAATAGACTGTGTTCAGAGACTGCAGTACTAGAAGGGGTGTAATGACTTTAGCCCTAACTTGGTTTCAAAACACTTTACTCATCATGGCTGAGTCTTTGTTTGAAATGCACTGCTGTACTGTACCATGTTACCTCAAAGAAAAAGGTATTTATATTCTGAAAACATAAGAACCACCATTACTGCACACAGACTCTGACCACTCAACTAATTGTGTGGATCACCAAGGTAGTTTTGTGCAACGAAATTAATTTGGGTTTCTCGCAGCACTTCTTACTTCTTTCTAGTAGTCTTTTACATTAGTTGTGTGGGGCAGGTTGAATTGAATTCACCTATATTGCCCCTATATATCACCTATATTGACAAAAGGGGATTGGTCCTGCACATCAAGAACTCATACAGTACAGTATATGGCAATGAAACAATACAGCAACAGTACAGTACCACCACAATACCTGGAAGGAGGTTGTGTATAACAAATCTGGACTGGTAATCCAAAGAGTCATGACTGTAAGCTTTAAAGCAACAAAATGAGCAAGGATCTGCTTTATTTCGTAATGCACTTTTGTAGTACTAGCTCCTCTACTTGAATATTGTCTGTGTATCTGCATTACTCTGAATATACAATATACTGTACAGTACAGAGTTAATTAGAATTGTTTTTTGGTAGTACAATGTTGAATTCCGGGTACTTGACTTTCTATGTTCTCATTTTCTTTGTTTATTGATGGACATAACATTTAAGGGGGCTATTAAATTTCCTAAAAGCACACGAGTTTGTTATAACGTTAAACAATTGTTTTAAGTACAAAAACTAATGTTAATAAAAATCTGAGAGATAAAATTGAACAGAAAGGATATAATCCATGCATAAACTGCCTCATGAGACTTGTTTCACATTTGAGGGGATTGATATTTCACCACCTTCGTTGGTGTTAAATACACCATGAGGTTGTATCCTCAGAACACTGAAATTCAGATTTCTCTTATTGTCTGTGACAGATCTCAATAAAGTTGTAGTCTTGTAGTTATTTTTTAATAACTGGATTTAAAACACACTATTCCAGTGCTGGTTTGTGTGCTGGAGAACAGTAGTACAGGCTTGAAAATTAGTCAAAAGAAACTTCGGGCCCCAGATGTGGATTTGTGATTGACTAGTTTTTCAAAATACTCCTCCATCCATTGTGTATTGACACTGCTTTTCCTTGGTCAGGTCACCACCTTCCTTACATCATGAAAAGACTTGTCCTCTTGTCGTGGATATTCTGGCCATAAACGTTAAAGTCCTTGTGGCAGTAAAGACACCATGGATAGGTTTTGTGTCTGGAAAATGCCACCCTCCGGTCCTGTGCTCTTGGGTTCTGTCCAATCGCACCAGCGCCTGTATGCAGCCATGTTGTGGCGCTCCTGCCTTGCATCAGACACACTCTGGTGGTACATTTATTTTTGCTCTTATCAGCTCAATGGTCGTTATTTCTGTACTTAAAGTCACATCAAAGTGTTCTCTATTGTAAATATTGCAGTAGCTTTTGCACTTCAATAGAAGTAGATTTGAAACAAACAAATGCCAAATGGAATGAATCACACTGTATAGCTGTAAGCTGTAACTCTAACCACTTCAATACAGCTGTGTCCTTCACCAGTCTTGGAAATTCTCTGAGAAATTGTTAACAGTACCACTCTGGTTCTGTTATTATGAAAAAAAGAAAATCTGAGGAGAACAACTCTTACAAATAGTGCCTGTGATAGTTCTGGTGAGAATATGTTATTGTACATAGAGCCTGAAATGTATTTCTTGACTCAATCTCTAAACCTATATGACAGTCCTCCAGGACCTAGAGGGAGATACTACTTAGAATTTAGTACTTTAATCTTCTCAATCAGACATTTAAAAACTACAATTTGCAGTAATAGACTACAAAAGTCATGGAACAGTTTGCAGTAACAGAATACATTGCAGTAATTGTAAGGATCTGTAACTAATGTGCAATAATAATCATTTTGCAAGCTCTTTACAAGACTCCGACATTTGGTTCACAGTATGTTCTTGGCCAAGGACTCAATGGTGCAAAGTTATAATTCCATTCATGGGAGTATGATTGAACTCCACATTAAATCACTCATTCCACTAAAATGTAGTGGATATCCACATCCAACTGCACGCATTTTAGGTTAATATTCTGACTGCACTGAGAAAGTTCTCAGAGGGATGAATTAATTTTTCTTTATTAATTTATCTGCATTAAGGATGTATACCTGTATTTCCTTTTGGAAATATTTGAAATTTCAATGCAGATCACTTCCATCTTTAAAGCTGGATTCAAGCTGGAGTCACAGCAGAGAGTGACTTGAATTACAAGTGTCATGTAACTTTGGAAAGTCAATGTTTTCCAGGTGAATATTGCTGTGCACAACTCCCTCGTTAAATCAGATATTTCTGTATTTTGGCATTCCTGTCTTATTCATTTTTTTCCACTTTAAATCTCATGACTAATGACTCCTGCTCCCCAGTGTCAATTTCAGTCAAATGTTGGTCTATGAATACGATCAAATTTTACTTCCAGCAGTGAACAATACATCAGGTAGATGATGTAACTTTTATATCGACTTAATCTTTTCTTTCAGAGTTTTAGAACTGTACCAAAAACTTCTTTATGTTTTTAATTTCATGGTCCAGCACAGTTCCTGTGTTTTGAAATGAGTGATTGCTGAAGGCAGAGTTTCTGCAGGGACACCTGGAGGATAACGATTATACTGCATGTTAGGAGCCCTGTCGATCAAGCCAAGAGAAAGCACAAGCCTTAACTATAATTGGAATGGGCTATGATGAAGTGTTTTATGAAAAAGACAACAGAAATAAAAATAAAATGTGATTCAGATGGGGGGGGCTTTAAGAAACACTTTAATTAGTCAATTACATTTCAGCTTTATTTTCTTAATTAGGATTTTAGAAGTACTGCACAAACAATATTCCAGGACTATCTAAAGGGCTGTCTCAAGGACACAGGTTTGGTTTCTACTTCTCAAAAGCTGTTCCAACTAATCAAGTTCTTAATTAAAAATCTGTCATACATAACTTGCTCCCAGAGCAGGTATATGTGTGAACCTGACAGCAGTTTCTCATTAACCTGGAAATAATTGTTTTTTTTAATTGCAATCATGAGAATGTCTGTGCAGTATCATTAATTTTATCATAAGAAAGAGGGTTAAAGTGAAATCACTTTCTGTACTGATTCTTCCTATAGATCACATACATGTTTCCAGGTCTTTGATTATTTTAGTAGTAATGTAATATCTATCTGGAATAGCGTGTTCATTGTATGAGTTGCTATAGCCAGTGTAGCACTGAGAGTAAGGTTCTTCTTCTTAGTAGTACCTGTGAGACAACAATTTAGACTTGAAACTGTATAGGTTTTGGTTAAGGCAGGTAATTAATTGTGTAACAGACAGCACTGTCTTGGACTCATGCTATAGATCATTCCATTATGTATCATCTTCAGAGTTTTGAAAGACTAGTCAAGATTTATAATATTGTTTTATCTGCTTTAAATGACAAGGTTTACTGATAGTACCTCAGTTCTGAAAGGAACCAGTAAGAACACCTAACGTTTTCTCTTTTTAAAATGATTAATCTACACTGTATATGAATACTCCAGTGAATAATTAAAGTACATTTGATTAAATTAAATGTGAAAATTCCCAGCTGCTGTGATAATCTGGCCAACCACAAACATGTATCAGATTATTGTGTCCAGATGACAGCCTGTAGAATTTGCCAGTTTTACTGTGTTATTCCCATCATCCTCTTACTACTATGTGTGTGTAGGGATGCAAGGAGTCACAGCGCAGTCCAGTGAAAGTCTGAGATGATGAGAGAACACTGAAAGACACACACAACGCATATTTCCCAGAGCACCTCGTGTCACGGAGTTTTATAGCTTGATCTCCGCCATGGCCATCTTTTTTACCACCATAGGGTGGGTTTTGAGTGCTCATTTCCCTTACGGTCCAGTGGCTACTCCTGATGATGTTATCCCACTTTTCAGCTATGTCTGAGATGTCACATACGACAGCAGGTGTCAGTTTAAAATTCCCTCAAGCCACATCAGGAGTACTGACCCCAGGGCAGATTCCTAGACGTTAATGATCCATCCATTTTGGTGGGGAAAAAAAGACTCCTCTCCCACTTGTAACTCAACAAGAAAGAAACTGGAAGATCTCAGTTCTCCAGAATTAGCTACGATGGCCATTCTGCTGGAGAACACTCAAACAGCACAAACCAGATTTCAAATAAATTTGCATCCCACACCTCGCTTACCAGTAAATAACATTTAAAAATAATCTGAATAATCTTATCCAGTGAAGATGCATTGCAGATACGTAATACATTCAAAGTAGGGAAAAACAGGTTGTTGTTAGGGAAGGGTTTTATGTGCTCACAGTAAATGCTGTGCTATAAAGTGATTTATTCTCTATGGAGTATTTTCTGTGGTTCGTTCTAGACACTGGTCCTCAGTTAATATTCGTGGTCATGCTGCCTGTGTTAGGTTAAAAAATAAAGCATAACAGGAGACAGGTATAAAGCTTACACACACCAAAATGTGTTCCAGAAGTGTTTGTATGTACAGTATATCGTGGCCGGCTTAAAAATATCAAATACCATACCTGCTGCTTTAAAACATTAGCACAAAATCACACAGATTTTTCTATTTACTGTACAGTCTATTAATTTGCAACTCAGGTGAGACCTACTGTTCCAATTTGCACAGCAATGATTCCCTCTTCCTTCTCTGCAGATACCTGGCGATCCGCTACCCCCTGCGGTCAAGGGAACTGAGAACGCCGTGCAACGCAGTGGCAGCAATGGCTGTGATCTGGGGTCTCTCTCTGGTCTTTGCTGGGCCTTACCTGAGCTACTATGATCTCATCGATTTTGCAAACGGCAACGTGTGTGTTCCAGGGTGGGAAGAATGGAACCGCAAAGTGCTGGACACCTGTACGTTTGTATTTGGCTATGTGATCCCGGTGCTGATCGTAAGCCTCTCCTACACGAGAACAATAAAATATCTCTGGACAGCTGTGGACCCTCTAGACGGTATGTCAGAGTCAAAGAAAGCCAAGCGTAAAGTGACCAAGATGATTATTATCGTCACTGTCCTGTTCTGTCTTTGCTGGCTGCCCTACCACGTAGTGATTCTGTGTTACCTGTATGGAGACTTCCCCTTTAACCAGACTACCTATGCCTTCCGCCTGCTTTCTCACTGCATGGCCTATGCTAATTCTTGCCTCAACCCTATTGTCTATGCTCTGGTGTCTAAGCACTTCCGCAAAGGGTTCAAAAAGGTGTTCAGCTGCATCCTGAGTAAGAAAGCGAGAAATAAGGTACATGTCGTGCATGTGGCTCACACAGTCCCGGGATTTGAGGCGGGATCCACAGAGGTTTCCCATATGAACGAGGAAAACATGAGGCCGAATGACTGTGAAATGGGAAACCATTCTTCTGCCATTCCACAAAATGCCACGGTGACAATCAGCTTACCATACCAGCAACATCAGAAATGAAAAATTGGACATGTATTTACAGAGAAACATATGGAACCTTTATAAGGAAAGTCAACTGACTTAAAATGATGGCGAACTGCATGTTACTTTTTCTTTTTAGCTTTTACATTTTTCTTCTTGTTTCATTCTTACAAAATTCTGTTGGACTTTAATCCTATTTATGGATTGTATCTATGTAAATTGTGAAGGTAAAAAGTGATTAGACTTTGTTAGCAATGTTGACTACTAAATTACTCATCCTGAACATTATTGCTCAGGATGAATTTAAATTGATTTTTTACTTCTTTCACTGGCATCTCTTATGATCTTGTTATGGTACTAAATTTAATATTTTTAGGATTTCTAAAACTAACAGAGTGTCAATATAAACCACTTAACTGTTATAAAAATATCTTCAGCATTCCAATGGCTATGTTACAAATCAATTAATGTGGTAACATTTTAATTGATAACAAACATGTTTACTTATTTAAAAAATGATATATAGAATACATTTGGTTACTATTTCATTCCATACATACTAAAAGTGAAGATACATATTTAAAGATAAATATGAATAAATATCTCATTGATGATTTTATGCGATATAACATTCCTCTGTATAGTTTGGTTTAAAGATTAATCAATTAATAAAGCAAACTTAATTCTAGCTGGACTTTTACCTACATCACAAAATAACTTGCTAGAAATGAAGATTCTAAACAACTTTGTAAGCACTAACAGTTCAGGAGATCAAGTTACACAGTGAAAAAAATACTATGATCACATTTCCTCATGCACACATATTAAATTTACACCTACATTAGCTGTTAATATTCTAGATGAATGTAAGCACCTTTATTGTGGCCTGCAGTGTGTCTACCACTAATGTAGAAAGCAGGTCAGAGCATTATGTTTCTGCCTGCATTCCATTTAGAGGAGTATTGCTCTCGTAAGGTTATTTTCTGGAATACTGTCACTGAAGATTTTATTGCTCCTACATCAAACAGAATAATCAGTTTGGAGCTTGGGGATAAAACGCCTACCAAGACACAAGACACTAGCACAAACTGAACAAAGGTTTCCTGAGATACTGCAGTGAAACAGCAAAAAGAAGTCTGTAGATTTCCCTATAGAAGTTCCTGAAAACCACATTCCCTTACCCTGAATTGTAAGACACACAAGCACTTTCTACTGTATGGGCTATGCAATGTACTTCACTTCCTTTCTTGCAAATGTTTTGTTTTCTCTCTTTTAGAAGCGGCTTTATTCTTTGGTATTTGATATATAAGTGTAGTTGTAAAAATGACTTGGAACCACAGGAATAAAGAGAACTGTTTGCTTGTTTTTGGCAGCTGTTTCCGAGACATCTCAACTGGCTTTCACCCTCCAGGCTTCACTTGGAGAGTCTACTGCTCAGCACAGTTGTTCCCAAACCTAAACATTTTACACAGCACTGGCGCACTGGAGCCTCTGCACCCAAATATAGATACAGAATGCAAGATTTCAGCAGCATGTACCATGCGCAATTAAAGTTATGGTTCTCAGGACAGATAAGGGAATGAGGAATACTGTATATTCAGTATTTGTCCAGTTTCTCTGAACTTGGTTCTCTCCATAATGTTTTCATACCAAAGAACATGTGATCCTGCTTTCTGTCTTCTTGCAATACTGCTTCATTAACTTTTAACACCTTCTTACAGTATTAACTGTGTTTTGAACATTATGTAAAACACCAACACTCATAACTAAATATGTGTAGAATCCAGTTCCTAGTAAATAAGATATATTGTGTACTGTACTTTGCTTCATTACCTGCTCTGCACTACTGTTCTTTTCACCATGCTGTATGCTAAAAAACCTTCGTGCCTGTGATTAAATTTGTGAGACCAGAGTAAAAGAAAACTGGAAGTTCTTCCTAAATCAGTCAAGCACTTGTCATGGTATTGCAAATGACAAATTAAATGGCGAATGCATTTCCTAAAAAAAAGATGAAAACATTACATTATACAAACAAAATATAACATATAAAAAATAATTCACTACAATTTTAAAAGCCTGCCCTAATGCTGAAGGGAGTGCTTTGTATCGAGAGAGGTTCTGCACATAAGCACCACCCTGCACAAATTAAATGAGGTGAATTGGTTTTGCACTATGCCTTTCACAGCAGACTGTGATGTATGTTGTATAACAGAGTCAAACAAGTTACCCACCCGTGTTGTTTCAACTGATACCCTGGCTCCAAGCAGGTCACATGGGCAGAAGGACATTCTCTCATCTCCAGTTATTCACTCATGGTCTTATGCCCTGTCCAGTTGTGAGCCAGGTTCGTCAGTTACTAGAGTTCTGTTGCTGAAACTGTGATTGGCTGCCAGATTCTCCACTGGTGTGACACTATGCAGAGCAGACAAGGCTCTTTAAAGTAGGTGGGCTATAGCCACCTGGAGGTGGTTTTGTTTTGCACCCTAAATCGAGGATAGGCACCAGTTTGCCCCAGGCCTTTCTAAGAATAAGCAGCTTTCTGATAACAGATGGATGTAGAAATAATGGTAAGCAAAAGGCTTTTAAAGGAATATTCAGACATGAATATGCTGCCATTTTCCCAAGTTGCAATAGTGTTAGTATTTCACTAGTTCTATTGGAAACACTACCCAAATGAGTAGGCCATTAAGCCTGCTTTTGGTACACATGAAAGAGATTTAATTAGGGACAGAAGCTTGAAATAGCTGTTGTAGCTTAATTTGTTTGCATAAAGAATAAAACCACACTGCAGCACAATACCCACTTTAAAGATGAAACAAAGTGGATAAACATAATAAATCGATATTTTGTTGCAGAAAGCTGATAAAGAACCACATTTACACATCCCTCTACAGTTAAGAGTACGATGAATAAAGGTCCATTATGTGTTTCTAAAGATTTTCAGCTTACTTCCTCAGTTGAAGGATGAATTAGTACAAGTACCACTTCCCTGTACTGTGGACTGACATGTACCCTATTTAAAAAGGTTAGAATAATTTGGACGGCTGATTCAGGCTTGCAGTGCCCTTTACCCTCATTTATATTCCACTGACTGCATCACATACTAGTTCTTTCCCATTCTTGCGGCCTTTCAGTCACTTTAATTAAAGAACCCATTACGAATGCAATGGAAATCTTGAAAACTTAGATGTACCGTGGGGTGAAAAAGTAAATGCACCCCCTTAAGATGTTATGTTTTAACATATTGACACACACAGTATTTGACCTTCACCTAGTCCTCTCCAAGTCCTAACAGTGGCGACCACTAACATCAGTGATATTCAGTGGTGTCGCCAAAAGCCCAGCTGTATTCTTTCAGGTGGAATTAGAACTGGAAGCTTGTCATGAAACAAAAGACAGGAAGTCTTTTGCAGAGTTCTGTTTAAATATGGTCTCTTAATAATAGTAGTAATAATAATAATAATAATAATAACAATAATAATAATAATACATAAATAACAGAGACGATTGTGTGCTTTCAATATTAGAACAATATAGTGAAAGTGGCCAAATTAATTCACAAAAGATTATTGAGGGTGATAAAAGCATCTTGCTGTAGCAAAAGAGATGCAAATTATACTGAAATGTGTAGAAACAATCCAGTCTAGCCAACAAAATATCCACAGTTACTTGTCATCCAGAATTACTGTCTATCGCTGTTATTAAAATTCCACCGTCAACTGATTGAGAACATTTTAGAATTCATATAACTTCTCTTTCATTTAAGATGGTGTTCTAAATGATTTCTGTCAGCATGGTGATGAAGTGTACAATTTCAGGCAACAATTTTAATCACAGTTCCCCAGGCTCCCACTCCAATAAAAGTTCCTTTAATACTGGAGAAAATGACTCCTCTCTCCCTTCAGTGGGTGTATGTGCACCAAGAAATTCAAATACAGTTTTTTCCAGCACTGCCTGAATTCTAAGTAAGCACCCTTTAACTACTTCATTGACGTGAATGGAACTGGGTAAAAAAAGCTTTGCTAATAAGAACTACACCTGCACTGCATCAGCACAATTACTAAAATTGTTATCTCACTACCCCTCAAGCTCTCCATCTATTGGACTTGCACTTTTTATAGGGCTTCCATGCAAAATGGAGAAAATAGTTTTTATGAGTCACACATATACATATATATATATGTACCAAATATTAAAGTGTCTAATCAGTGGTTTAGGGTGAAAAACAGTTACTACTCAACTTTCTAATGGATTACATTCCCAATTACCAGGAGGTTAAAATTTGGGAACTTGAAAATGACTTGAGCTTTTCATAAAATATTTCAGAGAAATAGAAGAAGTCCTGTTTAAGTGATTTTGACAACATAGATTGGTACTGTATCCTATTCAATCTACAGTATATGTCATTAAAAATTAAAACAATAGCCTTAAGTATAAATCAGTAAATGTGCAAGTAAAGCAAAGTCGTTGTGTTCAGGGGCAGAAACAGAACCTCAATATCAGACTGAAAATCATCAGGGAACACATTGTGGCCAGGAGCACTGTCAAGCACAAGTAAAACCTTGAAAGGCTCATTTCTGAATGTTTTACAAAAGCAGTCAGATCAGCCAAAAACTAGGAAAGTATATATCCGATTCTAATACATACTAGGAGCCACACCATTATATTATGCAAATGAGCTCAAGCCTTCAGATATTAGGTGAAGAGCCAAAGGACACCAATGGACGAATGCCCTTTCAATCTCACATCACACTTCTGATGCCTGGTATACGTTAAAAAAGACCAAAACTGGAGTGAGGATTCAAAAACCAGAAGAATGTTACATAAAAATACCAAACACATTGTTGGCACCTAAGACATCTTAGTTATCCCTGGCAATGTTACTTACTGTGTCTTTGAGAATGTTGTTAGCTGCTGATATACTGTAGCACATGGGATTTGAGTGAATTTCCTGATGAGTGCCACATTGTCAACAAACATTAGCATTAACGGTTTTGGTGATTGAGTCAGAAACACTTTTTCTTGGTTACACACACGACTGCCTGTGGGTGAGCTGAAGACTTTCGCCTGCTTGTGATCGATAGAGTCCTTGGTACTACTGTAGCTGCCAGCAAGGTGTCAGCATGCCTCAGTCTGACTCCAGGAATCATGCTAACGTTTCAAACAAACAAACAAAGATGCAGAAAGGATGTGTAGTTTTTATTCTTCAGAATTGCTCATCACACAAGAAGAATTTCTGTTGCGTGTTAACTTTATTTTCAGATGCACTCTGTTCAGCTAGAGCTGTCTTAAAGCAAGAAGTCTAAGTAAAAGAGCCCAATAGCAAGATGTCGGTGTTGCGCCCTTTTTACTGAATCCCAGGTCAGGTCTATCAAGCACAGTGACCACAGCTGACCAGCATATTGTTTTGTAAAACAGGTCTGTAGAAAACTCCTTTCTAAGTGGCTTCACTGTAGATGAGAACAGACTCTATAATAGCACTATAAGGGTACCAATTATTATTCTGACTGATAAGACAGCCCCCATTCCAATATCAACCAGACTGAAAAGCAAAGTATTACTCAGTGTGCACATCAATGTCTGTACCATTCTGCTCTATTATTTTACATCTCAAAGAGACAGTTGTATTATTTAAATCTTAATAATCTTACCCACTGCCTGCAATGTACAATTCCAAAGGCATGTTTTCTATAAGAGTAACTAGCTGCTGTTCTTGACCTTCCTACAGCTTATATGAGGTAACTCAGCCATTAGTGGGCCAGAAGCTGATTTAGTAACATCAATTATTTTTCTCTTGATACCCCTTCTGAATCTTCCTACTGAGGTAGACAAGACAACCCTGTTGCTCACTGTATCATACAAATCAGTGAATTCAAAACCACATCGTAAGAAGCACATCTTTTTTAATTAGGCCCAGAAAACATTGCTCATACCTGTCCTAAATTGAATGGCTAAATAATCTGGGAAACCATTCTCCACTTGGAGTTTGTAACTGTTTCAAAGAAAGGTCATTGTACCTTTTAATAACAAGTATTCTTTTAAAGGTTTGCTGCTTGGGTCAAAAATGCAAGTTGACAATTACCTTTTCAAATGTAAATGGCACAAGTTAGCTTTGATCTGTTTTTATTCCAATAACAATGGTGTTAAAATGATCAGTACTGACTGGTAACCAATGAGGCTACATTACATACAGAACAGTGACAAATTAATTATCTTCCCTTTTCAGAAGCACGTGGGGCAAAAGTGGTGTATATGCATCACCTATTAACAAATGTTCAATGATGACTGAATATACTGTACATACAAGGTTAAATTATCAGGGAAAGGTGATTTTGATCTGAAACTGAAGATTTTCACCATGCACT